CAACTTGAATAAAATATAATCCGTTCTCTCACGTTTTTTTTATTTCCTTGAAAAATGTATGGATTGAAATAAATTTAAAAAATTTTATTTTTGTGAAACTAAATAATATATTATATAATAAATAATATAATAAATTATATAAAACGAAGGAAGAGATTTCCAATTATCTGATTACTTTTTTGTCTCTTTTATTCCTAATATTCTAATCATTTCTTGACGTAATTCTGAATGTTAAATGAAAAGCTGGGTCGAATGTCGAACAAAGAAGAATTAAAACATAAGGATATTTTATAATTGTGAGAAACTAATTTACTTTAAATCTTTGTTGCTTCTTGTGAAAATGAAAATAAATAGATAAAAATGAAAAATTGCAAAAGATAAAAATAAAAAGAGCAAATAAAAATTTGTTTACTTGTAAAAATTTACAAATTCATAAAATCAGTTTTTTAAATTTACCTATATTTTACATAATTTGGTTGAAAAATTTAAAAAAAAAACAGTAATTTAGATAAAATGAATTTTTAAATAATTATCCATTTAACCAAAAAGTAAATTTAATAGTGATAGTTTAGAAATTTCAAGAAGAGAGATGCAATTGATACGTGTATTTCTCGGTAAATCTCGATTTCCCTGAAAATCCACATTTATACGAAAATGTGAAAGTTGTTCTAATTTTTTGAAATATGACTCGAATGAATACGTTATGATACAGATATACGTGGTGTGAGTTACACACGAATAAAACAGGTCTATAAATCCAAATAAAATGCGTCGCGTGAGAGAAATACAGACAAAGCGCTTCTGCAAATAAAGAAAAAGTGACGAAATGCTGTCGCACGAGCGTGCCCACCGTCCCTCCCAAATTTATTGATCGCCGAAGAGAGCGCCGACGGGGCGAATCCGCGACAAGACGATGGCGTGAAATAAGCCGAATAGGGTATGCCACTAAGCATCCTCTGGTTGTGTAAACGATATTGAGAGTTTGAGAAATTTCAAACGTGAGGAATGTGTGGAATGCGGGGGGTTCTTTTTATTGAAAATTTCCTTAAAATACCAGACCTACTTTGAAAAGAGAGTCGTTATAAAAACGTAAAACAAAGGGTGGTCAAGCGTTGTTTTATCATGTACTGATCTGTTCGGGTCGCGATATATAAAGTGATAGGTCACAATATAAAATGCTACGGACATCCGTCTTGTTATCGCGATAATAATCGCGATAACAAGTTTAACATCGAAATTTACATTCGTCGACCCATATCTCTTATTGTACATATTTGGTATTATATTTACTAAGACTCATCCTACGCGCTTTGAATGAGATCTTCGTATTAAGCAAGTAGCACGGAGAACTATGCTAACCACATTTAGCGTACGCTGAGTACACGAGCTTTTGAGATACACCATCATGCTGGGCAAATAACACGGAGAATCAGTCAACTACATTTAATACTGAACATGCTGCGAGAATACTAAGTATATACTGAAATGTACATTTAGACATTGATAGAACTGCCGATTAACGACGATTAAATTTACATTAATTGTCATAATTATAGATGAAAAATTCTATGCGGTAACTGTCTTGTAATTAATTTAATTGACGTTTTAAATAATAATGGAAGAAGTATTTATTTTGATAAACCGTAAAAACTAGAAATATCGAAAATGGTCGTAGTCAACAGAAAAATATTGACCAAGTAACGAAAGTAATAACTGAAATAATATGAATTTTACATGAGAAACCCGAACGTTTTTATGTAGGAAAGATACTTGCTTCGCTCCTGCGTTTTCCAATTCCGCAATACTTTTCATACTTTGCGAGATTTTTTTAATTTGATCGAGGTATCGGATAATATTAATGTTTATATGGGCAATGCCTGAACCTCTATCTAACGATAAGTATAGTGCCACCTTCAAAATTGAAAAATAATTTTTGCGATCTTATTTACAGAATGTCCAGTCTCCGAAGACGGAATGGAAAGATTTGCTTGCCCAACTGCAGATAGAATGGGAAGATATCATTGTATTGACGATCATGTTTTGTGCGATGGCTTTATAGACTGTCCTACAGGCGAAGATGAGGATAGGCAAGCCTGCATGTTTTACAAAACCGTGAGTAGAATTATATGACAGTTCTATTTATTTTATATGTATACACGTATGTGTATATATATGTAATATGTTCACACACATACACATACATATATATATCTTCGGATATGAAATAATCCCTGATTCCTAATTCGATGAAAGAATTTTGATGAATCTGATCCTTTGAAGAAAACCAATCAAAATACAGAATGATTTTTTTTTATTTTAAACTTGGAAATAAATATCGTATGTTTCCTGTTAACGAAATCTAAATAAATTTAGAAGAAAGTTTTAGTAAAGTGCGAGAATTCCATTTAAATTTTCATCATTTGATTAAGACTAAAAGATACGTCTGACTATATGTATTTTGCATTCTATGTAAAACTCTGCTGAACTCTGCTTTTAAAATGACTTTCGTTATAAAGTTCAAAAGAAAATGGAAGCGTGTTTGCGTTAACCGTGGGTGTAATATCAAAAGCTCGTTTTCTAACTCGCCGATAGCATTTTCTGGCGAGGTTTTGGAGCAAAATACGGGAACACAATCTTTTTGATAATTCACACACCATCTGCTTGAACATGTGGAAAATAGCCTGCACGTCGATAAATTCGAGTTATCCAATTTTCAGTGTTCCCACGTCAAGGGGATGCTCTCAGTACAACAGAAAAAAAGTGGAGATCTCTAGATAAACTAATATTACATATTGACTTTAGATTTAAAAAATACTATCTTTTATTCTTATAAGAGGGTAATATGTTCAAGATTAATAAAAAGATAAAAAGATTGAGAAATTCATTATAGAAAAATATATACTAAAAGCGTATCAAATATATTAATAGTATATTATAATAATATATAAATACTGACCTGATATTTGAATAGATCAGATCTAGTCATGATAAACTGTTAAATCTATAGTGTCAAATTTAACTTAATTTAAGTCGTCACTGCTCCTACTAAATATATCATTATTTTATACTAAAACGATATTTAAATTTGATACATGCCGTACAATTTGACACTATATAGGATTGATATTGCATATTATCAAATATAATCATTGCTTTAATATAAAATAACGATATAATTGGTATAAAAGGCGATATTAGGTTAAATTTGACAGAATAGATTTAACAGTGTACAGACGTGAAAACAGTACATGAAGATTTATATATGGAAGAATTTTGCTGAAGTATCTAAAAATTTAGCCAGATCTGAAAATAATTTTGTTAGATTATTAGATTATTGATTTTATGTTAGATTAAAATAATTATTATAAATAGACCGCCCAAAGATAATGAGCTGCAAACGTTTTTTTAACATTCTAGCTTATGAACGTTCTACATAATTATTGTGATGGTCTAACAAAATTATTTTCAGAAATTTAGCTAAATTTTTAAATATTTTAGCAAAACCGTTCTTTCAGTATGTGTTATTTATTAATTTTAGTCATTATACGAACAACGTATAGAAAGAGACTCGAAACGAGAATTACAGAATTCATGCATATATACAAGTTTCATTTTCCTTTTTCACATGAAATGCTAAGTCGACAGATAACATAATACGTATTCTGATATGTTTCAGACGAAAGCGCATCTGGATGTGTTAGCGGACGCCATATTACGATGGGCGAGAGGACGCTAATTCCTTTCTTTGTTGACGATGAATCTCCAAGCTGTACATAAAACCACAAGTCTGATACGTCTACTTCTTTATATATTCATCTCGATATCTTTTTCTCCTACATTAATCTATTTTCCGGAAACTGTTTTCTCTCTATGTTTGGCGCATAGAGACGTTCATATTGAAATCAAACTCAGGGGAACGCGTTAAGAACCGTCTCTCTCTCTCTTTCTCTCTCTCTCTGTCTCTTTCTTTCTCTCCTCTATTTCTCGCTGTCTCCCTCTCCCCCATCTTTCTCTCTTTTTCTATCATCCTCCTTCTCTCTCTCTTTCTCTCTCTCTCCCCCTTCTTCTCTCTTTCCCAGAAGAGAATACGGCCGCTCGACTTAATCTCCGAGAGGACACGGCATGGTTCTAACTACATTAAAAATCGGTTAGCAAGGTCTATCGTAACCAAGATATCCTCACATAAAGTACAAATTAAGGTGTCCGAACTTTTAGGATGTTATAAATAAAGTTCGTAAGAGAGTTATGGCATTTTAACGCCGCTGTGTATGGCGCACGAAAATACCCGACTTGGATAATTTCAGTTCTATAAGCATCTACCAGCTATATACCAACACACAGATGATGTATTACGATTTCATATTGAGCGATTTCCGCGAGATCGTAATTAACTCTTTAACGACTTTATTTTGGTACAATAAAGTAATTTTGAAGACTGAGATCTATTTACTTCATTCCCAGAGTAAACACGCGGCTTCGCCGTCGCGCGCCGAACTGGTAGGAACGAACGATCGTATCGTTTGGCAAGGAACGGGCACGTGTACCTAGAGACTTCCTCCTAGAGTACTTCCTAAGTGATTGTAAAAGAAAATGTACTCGCGTTTAATCAAATCGCTCCGCACGACGTTGACGCGTTAAAGCGAATCGTAATAATAATGGAATCAACGTCGATCCGGTCTTCTGGTATCGCGTACCGTCACGAAGAGACGTCTCCTTCTCGCCTTGTGCACGCTCTATGTTGTCATATCGATATCTCTAAATATTTATTTCGAATTTAATGGAAAGAATAAAAAGCAAAGCGAGTGCTTTCAGCAGAAGATTCTTGTGAAAAAATTAATTGCGCTTCACAATTAATCCGCTCCGAACTAACGAGTTAGGAAATATTAGGGATTTATTAGCAAGCCATCTTGCTGCCGTATACACTTTGCGTTCTGCGACATTTATTTACAAGCCTTTATCACACTTATTCAGAAATTCACTAATATATGTATCGATATTGCTGTGAGATTGACGAAAATGAATTTCTCCTATGTTAAACATTTGATGTCCAAGAATTATGACTTAACGGTAACATAATAATACATATATGTTCCAACTATCACAGGCAGTTTTGTACTTTCATTTTCCATACCAAATCAAATATTAATTATTCATTAAGAAAATACCTAGTACTAGAAATATATTATCTTTCACATTTGTAGAAAGATAAATAAGCAAAAATGCACACACACACGAGTGCGCGTGCACACACATATATATTATGTAGTGTGTATTAATTATTAACAAGTATCATAAAGCATTTATGAAAATATATATACCTCTTATTCGCGAAACATACCTCTTTCCAAGAGGTTCCTATCTTTCCACAAAATATTTAGTCTATAAAATAAGTAGACATAATTTTGCCTTTCAAGGCAGACTTATAACTTTGATCTTAATAACAAATGTTTATATGTATGGGAAGGGAAAGCACACGCATTTCTTGCAATTACAATATTTCTCGCAAGAAATATGATCGATGTGCTGTGTCGCTACGATCAATTATGTTGGTGTATACTACGGTATACTTGTAATCATGTATACATTACAAATTCGGAGCATACCACATATTAGATTGCGAATCTGGATTTAACAATATCGCGTTCACAGAATCTAAATGCTTTACGTAAGATTGATCGCTTATCTTACGTGTTGCAAAATTATTAAAGTGCAAATTATCTGTTTGTAATGATACTACCTTCGTCGCAATTTCTTGTGGAAATGTTTTTGTTTGGATACTTGGATCCATTACAGCTATTACTTTCAACGGGGCATTTTCCGCAACCTTAACACTTCTGTCATTTATATACACAGGAATTTTTTGGATATTCGAACCATTTTCGACAGCTAAGTATTTTACAGGTTGAGTAACATTTTGCAATAACACTGCGCGATGCTGATCGTCGATCGCTTTCGGATACATGTATAGACCATCGTTTTGCCTCAAGGTTAACAATGGTACATTTTGCGTAAAACTAGACAAATTAATGCAATTATCTACGCTGTTATTATAACCTCTTGTATCGCATAAACTTTCAGGCTGAGCAGTTTCTTTGTGACAACGATGTGCTTGTTCCTTATATTTACGTGGACAATTGGCAGAATCGAAATAAATATACTGTTCGTTGCAATGACACGCATTTTCATTAATTTGGTTCTTGGTACATTTTACGTCTGTTTTACCAAATCGATTTTCCTGACATGATTCCGCAGATCTTTTTTCGGCTTGAACATTTTGGGTGATGTTTAATATTGGCGGTATTGCTCTGTCGTTAACATTATTAAAAAGAATATTTTGATTTTGATCACAAATATTTTTTCTATAAAGTTCTTGCTTGTTGGCTTCACACACATGTAATTTAGTTTGAGAAAACTGTTTTGTTGACTCTACATTGGAATTAGATAAACTTACGCTTTGAAGGTGATTAATCGGGTGATAATTATTTGAACGATAAAAAGATTTTCTTATATCTGGTGATATTTGTTCTTGTTGAAGCAATTTTTCAGTATTTGTATTACATGAAACTTCAAAAGGTCGCGGATATAAAAAGTTACGGTATCGATGAAATTCATTTCTTTCGTTATATTCCTTTGGATGCATATTTGAATTAATTTGTTCGATTTGAGATTCTTGCGAATCTTTTATTTTCATCGATCCAATTTGAGGCTCTAATATTTTCGTTTGATCAACTATCGCGTTTACTATGGTAGGAGTAGGAAAATTTGTGTATGAATTTGGGAATGCAGTTTCACATAATTCCTTTTTAATACCATTACTTCTATTAAATAGGTTAGTTTCATATTTCTTATGTAAGCCTTCCACATCACCATTAATCTGTACAGAATGATTAGGCTTATTAATGGAAATGTCGACACATCGACGTAGGATAGCAGGTACTCGTTTGACATTCTTCACCTCACAGTTATTTGCTATTTTGTTATTATATTTTTTAGATATATTGTTTAGTGCACAATTGTCGGAAATAGTAATAGGCAATTTTTCATGGCAATAATCATTCGAAAAATGTCTCTCTGATAGTACAGGATCACTTAAAAATATTGACTTTTCTAAGAATTTTGAATTATTATCAACATATCGTGAATTTTTATGATCAGGAATATCAAAAGAAAAATTAACTTTGTCATGCCGTTTATTTTTTAAAAGATGATTAACGTAGTTAGGATTTTTCTGAGAATCCATTTGATCTAAATCTTTTTCATTTACAACAAAAAGATTTGTTGATTTCGCAAGTTGACAGATGTCTTTAGATTGTTTTGAATACTTATTATCGCCGTTTTTGCAATTTTCGACAACGAGGTTATTTATGTTACTGTTAGATGTAACAGTATTTCGTAATAAGCAAGATGTAAAATTATAACCCATTGTGCCATCACGTTTTTTAAGCTTAGTATTTTGTAAATGGAATTTGTTATCTTTGTGAGATACACTTTCTTGGAAATGAGCTGCGATAGCACGGTTTTTGCTACACTTAGGAACTTCGAATTCAACAGGTGATAATTGCGAAGTGTCCGAAGATACATAAGCTTGATGTTCCACAGAATGTGTAGGGTTTGTATTTTCTAATTCTTGTTTCTTCTTTTTGCGCAAAAGTTGTTGACGAAAAGAATCAGCATAAGCATGTTTTAATTTTTTAATTGTTGATGTAACAGGATCTAATACATAATGGTTAATGATTAATAAATTACTGGATAATGAGAAAAATAATCACAGGTTTCAATTACTCTATATACGTATAATATACCTGAGGAATAATTTTGTAGAATATCTGCTTCAAAATTTTTGGCAGAGATTTTGCAGAATTCCATATAGCGACTTAATGGGTCACATAATAAATCTTTGTTGTTTTTTGAACCTATCAACTCTGTTTTTTTGTCACTAGTTTTATTTTCTTTTGTAAGATCAGTATCATCAAATATTCTAAAATATTTTATTTGATATAATATATTTTTTTATTAAACTCAATAATTATGTTACTTACTCTGTTGAATTAGTAATAATAGTTTCTGATGGCTCTTTATCATTTTGGAATAATCTTCGTTTACATATGTCTTCTTTTTGAATATGTCTTGATTTGTCATTGATATTTTGTTTTTTAGTTTTGCTGAAATTTGTGTTTTCAAAGATGTTTTCTTCACCTTTCTTTTTAGCAAGACATGGCTTCTGATTTTGACTGCAATATTATATGTATGTGTGCAACATTTACATAAAATCTTTTTTATATTTATATAAAAAAATTTTGCATATTCTATTAAAAACAATAAATGTACCTTTGTCTGTTTCCTAGAACAGGACTTAGCTCTTGAGTACACAGTTTGTTTGATTCAAAATTGTTTTGTATGCAATCTTTATTTGTTGATTGTTTAATAGTTTCATTCTGTATTGATATCTCCACTATACGTCTATAAAATAACATATAGAAATTGTTATGTATCCATTCGTGATACATTATATCAAACTTTATCAGTAATTCACTTACTCAGATTTATAAGTGTCGCCATTGAGAAGTTTCAACGCATCTGCCTTTAGCCGGGCTTTATGGTATGTATTTTCCAATGTCTCTGCTGTAAGATATTATAAGGATTAAAGCAATTGTACCATTTCATTGTGCTCATTGTTACAACAAATGAGTTTCAATACGAATATTACCTTTCTGGATGTCTTTACCCTTTGCGCCATTTCTGTATATGCCAGCAGCCTGAAACAATAGTAGTATTCAGATATATTTAATAAATAATAAGAATATCATTGAGATAATAGAAATAGGTTTATAAGAATTAAATAAAAGTACTTACGGGTTCTGGCAAAAGTCTATTGCAGATTTTTGCTCGACCTTGCCTTTTCTGTTCTTTGTTATC